CGCCGCTGCGCTCGCTCACACCCCCTGTCCTGCAGCCGCTGGTGCAGGTCCAGGCTCGGGCTCTCGCCACTTTGCCCCCAGCGCCGGCCTCTGTCTGCCGAGCTGGCCTGATGGCAAGTCCCCCGAGGGCTGCAGGAAGGGGCGACACCAGGGGCCCCCCTCGGGCTCCCTCCCTGCACAGACGTACACCTGCCTGGCCCACGGGTCCTTTGCAAAGTGTGAGACGCTTTCGTTGTACCAAATAGGGCTCCCCACAAAGTGCTCTTTGGGGAGAGGTCCCCGCCAGGACGGCTGGTGTGAAGGAGAGAAGGACCGGCTACGATTCTCATAGATGAGATTGCACTTCTAAGCGAAAAGGAACTTCATGAAAAACGTTTGGGTTTTATTTCTAATCATAAAAGTGTCCCCAGAAAAGAGCCTCAGCTCCGTTCGGACAGGAGCCTCGAAATTAAATTGTTTACTTTACAATGTTTACATACACTTTTCACTCTTTTTTTTTTTTTTTAAATAAAAATAAATGCAAACTCTTGACTTTTGGACAACTTTTCAGATTTTTCATGGGACAGTGGAACTCTGACTCACCAACCGGATTTAAGTCCTAACTTGGAAATTTATTTATTTGTACGCCCTCCGCTTCCCGCCCCCCGACTGTCCCTGAGACCCCCGTCACGGAGGCCCCTCCTGCCCAGACCCTCATCTCTAACCCTGGTGGCTCTTGCTTCTTGCTTTACAACTGCCTGCAGCCTTGATTTTGTCACTGACATCTGTGAGCCAAAGACTGAGCCTTTTTGGCAGGAATAATAAGCAATACTACACAACTTGCTACTTTCAGAAAACTTTTTTAATTTAGCTTCACTAATGACAGCAGAGGAAGAGGGGAACTGGGATTTGGGTAAATTCTCCTCCGCTGTCTGACCAAATTCTCAGTGAGAAGTATTGTGTGCAGATCATTAGGGGGAAAAAAGCTGACGTTCTTTCTTTTCTAGCGTGGCACACACAGATCTGCAGGTTTTACGTAGACAAAGAAAGGGTCTTGTGTATTTTTGTCCATATCCAATGTTATATGAACTAATTGTATTGTTTTATACTGTGACCACAAGTATTATGCAATGCACCATTTGGTTTTTATTTCATTAAAGGAAGTTTAATTTAAATTGAAGTTGTGTGAGGAGCTTGGTCTTAGCCTCTTACCGCTCTTGCTCTACTGCTCAAGAGGCACTGCTGATCCTACTTCTGATCTCTGACGCCTATGAACGTGCGAGAGATGTTCACTAACGATAAACCAGATGGATGTATCAGCATCGATGCTGAGATTCCCACCAAGCTGCAAGGTAAGGGCGAAGAGCCTGTTGCCGATGGAGCATCTTCCGGTCTTTGGGTGAAGTCTCATGACCTTCGAGGTCTCCTGTCAGGAAACAGAGAAGTTAGGGGTGGCTGCTCTCTGCACAAGAGGAAACAGACACCAGAGTCCTGTGACCCTACTGTAACTGGGGCAGAACCGCCTTTCGGACTCATCACCTAGGGGGAGCCAAACCCCAGGATAGTAAGGAGCCAGCATGCTTCCCTGGGCCACTGTCAAGGGGCTCCCTTCTCCCCACTGGCTCCTGGAGCAGGTCCTGGGTCCTTGGGTGACTCTCCTGTGTCCCTGTGGCTGGGAGTGTCCAGGGGCCAGTGTGTGTCCCAGGATGGGTGCCTCAGAGGTCCCAAAAGAGCCTGTGGTTTACAGGTGTACAGTTGCTGTTCTTCCTGGGGTACTGGCCCGTCCATGCATGCTTGTCAGTGAACCAGGGGTTCTGCTCACACCCAAATGCTGACTCAGTCTCAGTTGGTCTTTAGCAAGCCTCTGCCTATCACAGAGCCTGGTCATACCTCCCTTTCAATGAAAAACAAAACAGAAAGTCGCTGCACGCTTGCTGTGTGCCCAGGCATTGTGCTAAGCAGAGAACTGCATTTAACCTGCACATGCTTGCTTGCCTGGAAACTCCTTTCTACCTGTCTAACAACTACTTCTCCCTCAGGTCCCAGAGAACCTTTTCTGCCCCTCTAGGCTCAGGGAGATCCCCCAACAGCACTGAAAAAGGAAGCGGAGGGCACTTACCGTGTGGTCCTCTGCCTGACAGTGACCGCAACTCATGCCGGACTCTCATGGTGCACAGGTGCCTTTGGTCACTGCGCGCTGACCACAGCACGGGCTCCTGACCCACGTCCCCGTTAACTCGATCTTCCAAGTAACGACCACATGTTTCCTCTACCCGCAGGCCATGTGCTTGGCAAACTTTGAAATGGAAATGTGAAGGCTATTTAGCTGCACCAGAAGACCGGTACACTCACAGATCCCAGGCCGGGGGCTTCCCAGCACACAGGAGAGTCTCTGGGTCCAGCAGGAGGCAAAGGGAATGCAGTAGAACACGGGCAACATTATTGTGGTTTTCACAGGGAGCACGAGCGAGTCAGGGTAAACACACTGCGGACTGACTAGTTTGGATAATTTCAACAGGCTTTTGGACATAGAATCCCAGTGGTCTATTGCGCGGTCCTGGGCTGGTCAGACCAGGGACAGGGGTCCTGAGCATGTGAGCCCGGTGGAGGAGCCGGGGGGGGGGTTCAGGGGTGGGTGAGGATCGGGGGGTTTGTCACATGTCCTGTCCGTAGAAACCACACAGTCCTGAGGGCCAGCGTCTCCAAGATCAGCAAGACCGTGGGTGTCAACTTACCAAAAAATAGAAGGTAAAATGACATGATGTTTTGGGCTCTCCCTGGCTAAACAGGTTAAAGGTTAAACACCACAACAGGTTAAAGCACTGTATTATGAAGCTCTCTGAAGCCACTGCAGCACAAGTTCGATCCCCACCCCGGAGGTGACCCACAGGGCGCGGCAGACCTCTCCTCACCCACCTACTGCTCCCCTCAGTACTTGGCCAGTCGGCCTGTTCTGCTCCCCACTCTGTCTCTGGGGAACCCTCTCACCGCCCACACCTCTGGCTGGTACCCCAGTTCTGTAAGCATAAGTAAATAAATCTTTTAAAAAAAATTTTAATGATTTTTAAAAAAAACAAACAAACATGATTTTGACACTCGCCACTTGGGGCTTGCAGACTAGATGCCCAGCTCCGCCTGGGCAGGAGATCAACCCCGTCCTCTGGGATCTCCATAATCTCCAAGCTGTTGGTACTCAGTCCTGGCCACCGTGCTCACCTAAAGTTATGGAGTAGCACGTAAAGCGGTGAACTATGCATGCCAAAGAAAGAGGGGTTGATGAAGTGAGTTTTCTCTGGTAAAATTCAACGGAGGCAAATTGCTATTTAAAAAATAAATTACCAATTTTGGTCTGGGAAAAGCAACTGTAAAAGATTGAAGGGATGAATCACCACAATGTGGATTGAGGCAATCCTCTGTTGGCTTCACAAATGTTTTAAAAATTCTTTCTCCATTTGAAAGATTTATTTACTTATGCCTACAAGAACTGGGGTGCAAGCCAGAGATGCAGGGGATGAGAGGAGTCCCCAGAGACAGAGTGGGGAGCAGAACAGGCAAATGTGTTGAAATCCACTGCAGAGAAAAATACAAGCAGTTTTGTGTCTGAGGGTCACGGCCGTCCTGAGGGCCAGCTGGGAAAGGTCAAGTGGATTTGGACTTGGTTCTCTAGAAATATCTGGAGGGTCACTGAGCAGTGCTCATCAGGAGAAATACTTGTATTTTAGTGACTTAGGCAGCAGCGGTGTTGGGGCAGAGCTAGGGGGCTAACAGCAGCTAGAAGGGACTCATGAAAGATTCCAGAACAAGTGACAGGACTTTGTGACGGGCGTGGGGTGAGGCGTGTCGGGTGGACGTTGGGCCTTTCAGCCACAGTGGACACAGAAAAGAGAAAGTCATTGTTTCAGCTTCAGACCCAATTTTGTACTCCTGTGGGACC